AAAATATCAGCAAATCAGAGAATCAAAATGACAGAGTCTTGCTTTCTGAAATAAAAAAACTATTAAAATTAAATGTGTTTATGCTTAAAACAAGAAAGAAATTCTTCCAATTAGGTCAGAAAATTAAGTTTATTAAGATTTTTCCTCACTGTAAAAAACTATTTTGATGATTTTGAAGTTCAAATAACATAATATTTTGAGTTTTAACTTAATTTTTTTAATTTTGATGAACTTACATTTTAAATGCAACTAGGTTACATACTTACTGAAATAAACGTAAATTTTGTACATTTTAAACGTTGCTTCTGGTTACTGTGCGTCTATGTGGAATCATTATTGGGCTCTGGAGTCTTGTTGCATTTATTTACATTTCTCACACAACTGAGACTCCTTTGTATAATAACATGCCAGGATAGCCAAAAGAACAGTGAGGGATGAATCACTGTGGACGGCATCTTGCTATGATTCTTCTGAATCTGGCCTTCACCATCACTCGTATGGTTTTGTTTTATGGAAAAAAAATACTATGGAAGTCAATGGGTGCTGCAAACTGCAAAAGTATCTACTTTTGTGTGTAACAGAAGACTTGAGTGGAACAACTTGAGGGTGAGTAAATGATGACAAAATTTTTATTTTTGGGTCTTTTTAACTCTCTTTAAAGGGGTCATGAAATGGATTTTTACATTTTTTTTATATTGTTGTCTGAGGTCAGCTTATGACGTTCACTTGGTTTTTACATTCAAAAACATCAAAATGAATAAGTAATAGGCTATTTTCTACCCTAGTTTTGAGCCTGGCTCAAAAACGCTCGGTTTTTATGGACGTCTCGCACTGAAGACTTGGAAGTAAACGCCCACTGCTGTGAATGGATAACAGTTTTGCATATTATAATGAGTTTCAACTCACTCGCTTATGCAGCAACTGTCTTCTTCCACAACCAGTCGCTGCACAATATTTTGTAACGGTATGTTTATTGCTCGGTAGCTTGATCAGGTTTGTCATCACGAGGTAGGCATCTATGTTATTTAGCTATGCGTGTAAGGGGCTAAACCGGCCGTGTTGAAGTAGGCGTTGATCGTCTTCTGCGGGGGTGGCGTTTTATCCTATTTGACGTCATAGTTCCCCACTTTGAAAAACGAGTCGTTTGCTGAGGCTGGTGTCAATGAAAGCTTTTATTGGACTAACAAGGAACGTTTTCAGTTCTGAAACTTACAGGATATTCTTATAATATGATGACCTCTCAGATGTCAAAAGCTCAAGGAAAATTTGATTTCTCAGTTCATCACCCCTTTAACAAAGATGTTGACCACTGACAGATATTTTGTTTTAAGCATCACACTTCATTTTGATAAATGTTTCATAAAATAAATCATTTTGCTTCTCAAGTAAGTGTATCTTGATTTCAGAATGTTTAGATATTTTAACCTTTTTTCCCAGTTTGGCATGTATTCTTAGTCATTCAGTCTTTATTTGACAGATGGTACCTTTTTGGACTGCTTCTCACACTCCTGTCGAAGAAGTTCAGCATCCCTGACTTTGGTTCTAAGGCAGTCTTGTTTGCTAGCCGACAGCAAGAGGCCTTTCGGATCAAGAGGGCCGATGATATCGTACCAGATTGGACTTCCTTCACGATCATAGCCACACATTCCACCAGCCACATAGCGCTCGATGACCTGGACAGAGAATAATATACTGTATGTGTGACGAATGAGGCAACTTTACTTCAAAAACAAGGAACAAGAACAACGACAACTCAAAACAAAGACAAAACCCCACAAGGTGACAATATGCGTGTTAGCAGGGCATTTTCCATTCTGAACCTATGGTAAATATTTGAGTTGTACTGTACTGTGATACCTCAGGTGGCCTCCAGTCGTCAATGATCATGTCTACTTTCATATGCTTGCGAAACTCCAGATGCTGGAATACAAAGTGATTTGTTTAAGCCAAAGGAGAAAAACTTTACAATTCTGGGGTATAATTTGGTTCAAAGTGGCCTTAAATGAACATTTTGTCATCATTTCCAAACCTGTATGAATTTCTGGTAACACTTTAGGGTCCAATTCTCACTATCAACTAGTTGCTTATTAGAATGCATATTGGTTGTTTATTAGTACTTTTAAAGCACATATTAATGCATATATTCTCCATGAATATATTCTACATCCCTGGCTTAACCCACCCAATACCTAAACCTTACAACTACCTTATTAATTATTAATAAGCAGTAATTAGGAGTTTATTGAGGCAAAAGTTTTAGTTAATAGTGAGAATTTAATTTAAAGTGAGACTAAATTTCTTTCTTCTGCTAAAGAGAAGATATTTTGAAAAATGTTGGTAACCATTGTTTATACATGTTAAGGATTAATGGACTTCATTGGGTACCAAACAGTTCAAGGACTTAATTTGGTACCAAACGGTTCAAGGTCAAAATGAGAGTTTCAGTGCAGCTTCAAAGGGCTTTAAACGACACCAGACGATGAATAAGGGTCTTATTAAGCGAAACGATCGCTCATTTAAAAAATATACGTTTTATAAGCACAAATGCTCGCCTTGGTTTGTTCTGTGATGAGCGTTCGTGACTCTCCTGTTCAAACTCGTTCATCATTCGTTGAATGAACCAAATGACTCAAAAAAAGATTCGTTCATTTTGATGAACGAGTTCGAACCTTGAACCATTTGGTGCTCAATGAAGTCCATTATATGGAGAAAAATCCTGAAATGTTTTCATCAAAAACCTTAATTTCTTTTTGACTGAAGAAAGAAAGACATGGATATCTTAGATGACATGGGGGTGAGTAAATTATCAGCAAAAGTGAACTACTCCTTTAAGATTTTGTGAATTCCCACCATTTCCTAAGTGACATTATTGCCGTTTTCTTTATTTATATATATATTTTCAAGTTTCATTTATTCCTGTGAGGACAAAGCTGATTTTTAGCAGCAGTGTCACATGATTCTTCAGAAATCATTCTAATATGCTGATTTGCTGCATTTGTTATTATTATTATCAATGTTAAAAGAACAGAATGGTAATTTTACTTATGTGGTCGAAAGTGTCAATAAAATATATTTACTGTATAATGTTGGAAAGATTTAAACTGTATGTCCAATACATTAAATTGGCCTAAAGTGTCAATAAAATTACTGTATAATAGTAATAATAATTCATTACATTGATAAAGCGCTTTTCTCTGCACTCAAAGGGCTTTACATTGAGGGGGGAATCTCCTCAACCACCACCATATAATGTTACAAACGATGTATACTGTTATGAGTGAAGATTTTTCTGTAATACAGACCCAGGAGTTTGTGTTATTACCTTTCTAAGCATTGCCTCAGCCTTGGGGACATTGAAGCTTCTAGCTGCAAACAAGATATAAGACCAAACTTTAAAATCTAGGTATGCTGCACTATTCTACAATCTTCATTCTGTGTCATTTAGCCTACTTTGTTAGAAATACGAGAGAGAGAGAGAGAGAGAGAGAGAGAGAGAGAGAGAGAGAGAGAAAGAGAGAGAGAGAGAGAGAGAGAGAGAGAGAGAGAGAGAGAGAGAGAGTACATATAGCTCTTTCCTAGAAGAGGAATGTAGAATATTATACAATAATGTATGTAAAGTAGGGCAAATAATGGGCCAACGGTCAAAAATCACAGGTAAAGAGAGATAAATATTGACACATAAATTCACAAGAATGTAACCTTGAACCTCCCTCTCAAAAAGTAAAGTCAGCAGATGTTTTTGGGATGTTCTATCTCAACAGAAAATATTGATTTCTAGATAAAACTGGTTAAGATAAAGCAATCGGTAAAGGCAAACTAAATAAATCTCAGAAATAACTCTTTTTTGCATATAAATCGCAAGTCCTCCAGATAATCACAAGTGTTTCCTGAAGATTATTGTTGATCTGGCATTCTGTTAATCAACAGAGGTCATGAGGTCATCCGATATGACCAAGCAGTCAGAGATCATTTAGTTAAAAGCAGGTCTGACTGCGCTATATTCATATTAAAGTTCACCTGAAATCAAACTCCCAGAAAAGTAAGTAAATGTTACGAGAACCATGTTGTTTGCGTTATTAAATATTGATTAAAAATAAATCTATCCTCACCTCTTAGCCACCGGAGAAGGTAATGGTCAGTTTGATTGGGCAGTTGATCCAACACATCTGCTAATTTCTCCCGAAACTGACCAAAGAAATGGCATTGAAATATAATATTTCTTTGACGTGCAGGGTTAACTCTGAAGATTAGTTTTGTATGCAATATACATTTTTTTATATAATGAAAACACTAATGTTCAAAGGTGAAACTGTACTGATTCGGTGATCATTGCAATTAAAAATTGTTATTATATTACTATAATATTGTAATAATGCAAATTAAAATGTAATTTATTCCTGTGATCAAAGCTGAATTTTCAGCATCATTACTCCAGTCTTGAGTGTCACATGATCCTTCAGAAATCAGTCTAATATGATGATTTGCTGCTCAAGAAACATTTCCATGTTTCAACTTAATATTATGAAAACAGTTGTGCTACTTAATATTTGTGTAAAACTGTGATACCTTTTTTCAGGATAAAAAATGACAGAAATCTTTTATAATAACATAAATGTCTTTACTGTCACTTTAATTCAACCAACGCGTCATTGCTGCATACAATTATTAATTCCTTTTAAAGAAATCTTACTAGCCCCAACCTTTTGAACGGTAGTGTATTATAGCCTATTAGGCCATCTTCTGACATGTAAGAAAGTTTGACTACCACTCAAAATACTAAGTGAAAATATCTTGAAATTCAGGAATAAAAATGTTAAAACAAATAGATTTTGTTCATTTACTTGCCTGTGCTAAAGCCTCAGTTTGTTTGGGACTGAGGTCTCCTACTCGTCCGCTCATGTTGTCATCATCAATCGCTCGTGCATTGAGTTCTCGAGCTCGTGCACCTATATTTATACCCGGTCACTAGAGGCGCGCGTCGCTAAGGTACTGAATGCAAGATGCATTGTCATTCTGAAACAATCCATAGAAACAAATCTTTGATAGTACTCTGCAATCATGCACTGATTCAACAGACAGACTGCTTTCAAACAGAAAATTATAAGTTCCTCCTTTGAATAATTATTTAATCCCCTCAAAGATAATCAAATACACGGCTACTATTTATAAACATATGTCTATTTGGAAGTACTGGTAAAAACAGGGTCCGTGGCGTGTATGTAGGCTTGTCTTTTGAGAACGAAAGTCTGAGAAAATAGAAAAACAAACTGACAGAAATCAAAATCCGTTTAAGCTAATATTTAAAGGCATAAAGTAAATTTCCATTATTTTAATCTTATTTAAATATTTGAGGTGTGGACCAATAATAATCATCCACGCGTGATTGACACCAAAAATAATTATTTTCAGAATTAATCCAGAAATAATTAATTATTTTCAAAATAATTTTTTCCCATTTAGATGAGGTTCGAACTGGAAATATACAGACAGCTGTTTCACCCAGAGCAGCTGATAACTGGGAACGAGGACGCCGCCAAAATTAAGTTAACGTTATGCCATTACACCATTGGCAAGGAAATCGTAGACCTAGTAACGTTACTTGACCGCGTACGCAAACTGGTAAGACATTTTCCTCTGTTTAGTTAATACTTCTTTTATAGATTAATTAATAGTTTGTGCCTTTGTTGTCAGTGCGATCAGTGCACTGGACTACAAGGATTCCTCATCTTCCACAGCTTTGGCGGGGGAACTGGATCGGGTTTTGCTTCATTGTTGATGGAGAGGTTGTCCGTTGACTATGGCAAGAAGGCCAAGCTTGAGTTTGCCGTTTACCCTGCACCGCAGGAATATTTTTAACCTTTCGTTCCCTTCACTTTAAAGTCGCAATGAAACCGTAGTAGGCTACCGTCAGATATTTTCTTATAAATTGTCATAGACATATACACTAGACCTCACCTGGGGGTTCTAACCATGCGTCAAAACCGCCGCCATCTTGGAACAGGGGTCTTGTCATAGGAAGTAGCTAGGTAACGCTGCTATCTCTGCCTTTACTTCGAATTCATTGACGGTGGCGGACTTTTGTGCAGCGTATGAAGTTCACGGATGAAATCTGAACTAGGAAGAATTTTTTTTTTTTTTTTAAATTATTATTATTTTTTTTCTGGAATCAATGATAAAAAACATGTCTGACCGTTGGAACAAACCAAAAAAACAAGAAAAATCGCATTCATGATGATTTAATTTGCGTTAGACCTGTGTCTACTACATTGACGCTGATGCATTAAAGTGGAGGGGCTCCCCTGTTTCAAGATGGCGGCTCTATTGACGCATTCGTTCTAATGAACTGCCGTATCCAAGGTGAGGTCTAGTGTATATGTCTATGATAAATTGTGACCTACATACAGTACGAGTGAAATGGATTATTGGCTACTATGCTCAATCACAGAAAAGGTCACTCACCTTTTCCCCAGAAAAAAGTCAAATTGTAGATTTAAAAAAAAAACTGTTTTCTGTGTGATTTTTCTTGAGGTTTCCACTGCAGTGGTTGAGCCCTCCATTCTAACCACAAACACCACCTTAGAGCACTCAGACTGCGCTTTCATGGTGGACAACGAAGCTATCCATGATATCTGCGGCCGTAACCTGGACATAGAGAGGCCCACGTACACCAACCTCAACCGTCTCATCAGCCAGATCATGTCATCCATCACTGCCTCCCTGCGCTTCGACGGAGCTCTCAACGTCGACCTGACAGAGCTCCAAACCAACCTGGTGCCGTACCCTCGCATCCACTTTCCCCTGGTCACGTACGCCCCCGTGATCTCCGCCGAGAAGGCATACCACGAGCAGCTGTCCGTCGTGGAAATCACCAACGCTTGCTTTGAGCCGGCCAATCAGATGGTGAAGTGTGACCCCCGGCACGGGAAGTAGTATGCTGTACCGTGGAGACGTAGTGCTAATGCCGCCATTGGAAGAATAAAGACCAAGAGGACCATTCAGTTTATGGACTGGTGTCCCACAGGGTTCAAGGTCAGTCCGTGTCCTTGAAGGGCAATTCACACTGCAACAGACACTTCATTGGGTTTTGTTAGTTTGGTGGATCACCCGTTGGCGTCTGGATTGTGTAAAGTCTGAGAAATTACGTAGACTTGCCTGATAAACATGATAGACAGCAGTAAATTTATGATGCTGAAAATTCAGTTTTGATATCAGGAATAAATGACATTACATATTTCACAATGTTATAGTTTTCACTGCATCTTACTGTTAAAATAGATGCAGCCTTGGTGAGCAAGAGACTAATTTCAAAAACCTTACACACTTTTAAACAGTATTGTAATTAAATATTTGCATGTTTTTACGTGTGGAAAATGTGTTTCTTAAACTGCTTTTCTTCTTGCTATAATCAGGTCGGCATCAACTATCAGCCGCCAACTGTAGTTCCAGGAGGTGATCTGGCCAAAGTTCAAAGGGCAGTCTGTATGTTGAGCAACACCACAGCCATCGCAGAGGCCTGGGCCCCGTCTGGATCACAGGTTTGATCTAACGTACGCGAAGAGAGCCTTCGTGCACAGGTACGTTGGAGAAGGAATGGAGGAGGGCGAGTTTGCGGTGGGCCGTGAGGATTAATGTGATTTTACTCTTCATTTTCTGAACATAGCAAGAAAAAAAATTGACATCCGACTTTTGTTAGTGTTTTAGATTTATTAATCAGCATAAAAAAAATCTAGTCACCAATAACCACTAATCCAAACAGCTACAATGTACAGTACTTTACATAAGGAGTGTTACAGGTTACCACACTATAGATAAAACAGTTCAAAAGGGTTCTGCACCATTAACTGTCTTCAGAAACAGAAAGTTGTAGATGGCTTCGGAGATCCATCAAAGCACAGCGACGGTGTGATTAAATGCGTTCTTCGTTAAACATCACTTGTTTGTTCTGTTGCAAGGCACATTTTGATTTCTTTTAGCTGTACTTACATCAGCGTAAGCGACTTAACTCTCTAACGTTACAGACTTGCATTGCATAATAACATCCTTCGTAGAAAATGTGCAACCCAGCATGACAACTTTTACATCAAAGTACCTGCACTTCTCCGCAAAGACAGATTTTCCGCAAAATAGATCACTTTACATCTCGGAAACGTTGTAAACGGTGTTCTGATTATTTTTATAATATAATCTTCTATTTTTTTTAGCTGTTTAAGGATAGTTTGATTCAGTTTAGGATAATTAAACTGTTTACTTAAGTCTGATTAACACCAAGAAAGTCTTTCTATAGCAGACCTACAGTCAGGCTGGTCTGTTAATGCCACGTAAGCATTTAAACATGTATTGTTTAAATGAAAATAAAACAAATCAAAGGTTAAGTCCAACAAAACTATATTAACGGAGTGCTCATGGATCAGGTGGAGTGCATCTTTGGTCAAGTCCTAAATGCAAATATCATCTCATTACCATTACTGGAATAATAGGAAGGTTTCCTCACAGATACAAAAGTACACAGTAAAATTGTCTTATATGTGCATAAGAATAGTTTTGGAGTATCAAATTCATTTCATTATCATTTTCAGTCAAATTGTTCAAATTCAAGCATGTTAATATATTCTGATGTTAAGGTCCACACAAAATCTGTGGACTGGATTACAATTAAGACGTGTCAAATGGAGCCGAGATTAGAGATAATTACGTCTGCCTAAATATTTAATACATACACCTGGCAGAGTTCTGCGGGAACAGATTCTGTGTGGACCAGAAACCCACAGCTGTTTGAGAACAAAGTGCATCTAAAGAAAAAGGGGAGAAAATGGCGTTTCACATTCTCATGGAAGAGATCAGGCAGAAGAACATCATTGCATTATAAACCCTGCCTGCGGAGGAAGAGCAGCGCCGGGGCCTTGAGGGTATGGACATGAATATGATGGCAGCATGTTTGGCAGAGGAGCACTGACGTTCTGAGAGTTGTAAGGGTGTGACGTGGCTGACGGTCTTACATGAGCTGGAGAACCATTAGCTAGCCTTTGGAAAGGTGCGCTGGAGTTAAGGGTCTCCTGCGCTTGTGAAGGATCATTACAGGAACCCTGAGGAAGATGAACACCCTTCAGCACCATCTCCTGTAGCTTATCGATCTTCACGCGCCTCAGATGCGCCAGCGTCCTCTTGCTCTGGTAGTCCTCAACGAAGCTGTCCAGAGGCAACGATCCATCCAAGAACGAATCGGCCATGTTCTACAAGACATTACACACCTCGCTGGAGTTAAAAATCGGTAAATGATGTTATGTATTTCTGAAAATAGGAAAAATGTCCTCACCTCTGTTTCTTCCTCGATCTTGGCTCCTTCGGTTTGCAAAAGAGCCAATAGCGTGTCTAGGGAAGTGTTTCCTGAAAAAGATCCGATTTAAATCATGATTACATACAGAACAAACTTCAATATTTTGAAATGCTGAAATTCACCAGTTGTCTCCATTAGACTCACATAAATAATGCATTCTTTAACTGGACAGTTATTTTAGAAATACAGGTGAAAAGTTAATATCGCTAATATCGTGCAAAAGTTCATTTATTTCAGTAATTCAACTTAAAAGGTAAAACTAATATATTATACTGACTCATTACATGCAAAGTGAGATATGTCAAGCCTTTATTGTTATCATTTTGATGATATTTGGCTTACAGCTTATGAAAACCATTTCACAATATTCTAATTTTAATGACAACTTTGCATCACTTTCTATATAAATATATTAGTTTCACCTTTTAAGTTGAATTAATGAAATAAATTAACTTTTGCACAATATTCTAATTTTCAGAGTTTCACCTGTAAGTGGTTATTTTACATTTTTGTCAATTTTGTGTAAAAAATCTGATCAAACAATAAATCATGGAGGGATAATTAAGGTTGATATTTGAAACAGAAGATCAAGTAAAAAAATAAATAAAAGAATGAATTAAAGTCACTCTATCCTTTCAAAGGGCTCATACAGTCTGTGATGGAAGACATCCTCATGATATGGGTGTGTGTTTGGCATAGTGTGTGTAACTTAACATCTGTGTGGTTTCTTTTGGAAATTATTCTTTGTATTGTCGTAACTGTTATCTGTCTGCTATGGAAGCTTAGGTAATTCTGACTTTCCATCTCACAATTCTGAGAAATAAAGTCAGAATTGCGAGATATAAAGTCAGAATTGCGAGACATAAAGTCAGAATTGCGCGATATAAAGTCAGAATTGCGAGATATAAAGTCAGAATTGCGAGACATAAAGTCAGAATTGCGAGACATAAAGTCAGAATTGCTAGATATAAAGTCAGAATTGCGAGATAAAAAGTCAGAATTGCGAGATATAAAGTCAGAATTGCGAGATATGAAGTCAGAATTGCGAGATAAAAAGTCGGAATTGCGAGATAAAAAGTCAGAATTGCGAGATATAGTCAGAATTGCGAGATATAAAGTCAGAATTGCGAGATATAGTCAGAATTGCGAGATAAAAAGTCGCAATTGCGAGAGATAGTCAGAATTGCGCGATATAAAGTCAGAATTGCGAGATATGAAGTCAGAATTGCCTGATAAAAAGTCAGAATTGCGAGATAAAAAGTCAGAATTGCGAGACATAAAGTCAGAATTGTGAGATATAAAGTCAGAATTGCGAGATATAAAGTCAGAATTGCGAGACAAAGTCAGAATTGCGAGATATAAAGTCAGAATTGCGAGATATAAAGTCAGAATTGCGAGACAAAGTCAGAATTGCGAGATATAAAGTCAGAATTGCGAGATATAAAGTCAGAATTGCGAGATATAAAGTCAGAATTGCGAGACAAAGTCAGAATTGCGAGATATAGTCAGAATTGAGAGACAAAGTCAGAATTGCGAGACATAAAGTCAGAATTGCGCGATATAGTCAGAATTGCGAGATATAAAGTCAGAATTGCTAGATATAAAGTCAGAATTGCGAGATATAAAGTCAGAATTGCGAGATAAAAAGTCGGAATTGCGCGATATAAAGTCAGAATTGTGAGATATAAAGTCAGAATTGCGAGATATAAAGTCAGAATTGTGAGATATAAAGTCAGAATTGCGAGATATAAAGTCAGAATTGTGAGATATAAAGTCAGAATTGTGAGATATAAAGTCAGAATTGCGAGATATAAAGTCAGAATTGTGAGATATAAAGTCAGAATTGCGAGATATAAAGTCAGAATTGCGAGACATAAAGTCAGAATTGCGCGATATAGTCAGAATTGCGAGATATAGTCAGAATTGCGAGACATAAAGTCAGAATTGCGCGATATAAAGTCAGAATTGCGAGATATAAAGTCAGAATTGCGAGATATAAAGTCAGAATTGCGAGATAAAAAGTCAGAATTACGAGATATAAAGTCAGAATTGCGAGATAAAAAGTCGGAATTGCGCGATATAAAGTCAGAATTGCTAGATATAAAGTCAGAATTGCGCGATATAAAGTCAGAATTGCGAGACATAAAGTCAGAATTGCGCGATATAAAGTCAGAATTGTGAGATATAAAGTCAGAATTGCGAGATAAAAAGTCGCAATTGCGAGATAAAAAGTCAGAATTGCGTGATATAAAGTCAGAATATTCTGAGGGGGAAAAAAGTTAGTCTTTTTTTCCCCTTAGAATTGGCCTGATAAGTCGCAATTGCGAGTTCATATCTCACAATTCTGAGAAACGATGTCAGAATTGACATATAAACTTGCAATTGTGAGAAAAAAAGTCGCACTTGTCTTTTTTTCTCGCAATTCTGACTTTGTCACGCAATTCTGACTTTATAACATGCAATTGCGACTTTATATGAGAAATAAAGTCAGAATTGCGAGATATATACTCGCAATTGTGAGAAAAAAGTTTTATTTTTTAAAAGTTTCACAATTATTTTTTTTATTTTTTTTATTCAGTGGCGGAAACAAGCTTCCATAGTCTGCCGTATCCTATTGACCCTGATAAACTGGGTAAACTGAAAGGCGGATAAATGTAGAGCAAGAAACACAAGCCTTCCACAGAGACGTGTGTGTATTTGACCTGACATGATCAGTATCCAGTGCAGCAAATCTCCCTCTATAAAAAGGAAGCATTATGTGGCCAAACAGGTTCACCGGGATGCTTTATTGTTTTACACCAAAGGAGGAAGACAAAAAGATGAGCTCTTTTTATGTTTCCATCTACACTTAAGTTTTCTAAGTATCTGGAAAGGATACTTAAGTCATGCTTAAAAATGTCTGGTCGTAATTGCATGCGGAATCTTTACTCTTAAGTAACTTTTCTTTATCATTTTGAATTAGCTGGTGTTTCTGTGATTTTCAGTGCATACTGAAGTCGGTTCTCCCCAATTTCACACAGGTGTTCTATTAGAGGAACCGGACCCAAATAACTATTAATAAAATCTTTATTTTCAACGTTATCTATTGTTTGATCACAGAACACATGTTTGTGAAGTGGTCTGAAGAGTGTGTGTTCACGCACCTAGCGTGGACTTGCGGATCTGATAGGACTCGTGCAGTTCTTGTAGACAGCAGTAGCGTTTGGTCAGCTGGATCTTCTGATGGTCCAGTTCAGGCTGAAGGCTCAGGTTCTGCTCGGCCAGGCTGCGGTTACTGGCGATCGTCAGCTCTTTGTTCTGTTGCATTTCCTGCATCTGTGATGGCAACAAAGTCACAAACAAAAGAAGCTAGTCAAACCTCTGGTCTCCTAGATGAAATCAGTGTGCAACATAAGGGAAAAATACCCTAATATGGAATTCACAAAGTCAAATAAACACAAGAAATAATTCCTGGGTCAACTTTGGATCATCCCGACCAGACCAGTTATTTAAATGAAAGCAATTTTTCCATGCAGAATGCATGCAAATCTGATGCAAGGATCTTTTCAAATATTTAACAATGCAAAGCAAGTTTATACAGCACATATACAATAGTGTTTTATATTGGAATAAAGACAAATGTCAATTTTATTTATATGAATATGCTTTATCTAATCAATAAAATTGTGGCAACAGATTACAAGCAATATTATTTATTAAATTGAACAAATTATAATTGAGTAATAGTTAATCAAATTAATATTCTAATTAATTCTAATTTGTACAATTGAATTAATAATATTGCTTGTAATATGTTGCCACAATTTTATTGATTAGATAAACATTTAATTTTTTTCAGTGTAGTTAAGAATGGACCGAAGACAATGTAATAAATAATTTCAAAATCAAAGGTTACATTAAACATTAATAATCCTATGAAGGTAATATCAGCATTGTTAAACATAGTAATTAAATAGCTGAACAAAATTAATCCAGAAGAGATTTGCATGTTTGTTTGACACCATCAGTCTGTTCATACACAATAAATACATGCCAGTCTTTAATATATCACAATCATATCTTTGTCTTTACTTTATATGAGCTGTTCCTATTGCCTTCATTCTGAACTATAACAATGTTTTCATTCCATCTACGTATCCTGATTCCTGCTGCCCCTCCTTTAGTCAACAACACTTTTAATGCAACCAATACTGATGCAGTCAAAGGTGAAAGGTCTCCATTCAAGATAATAACAAACGAACCAGCAGTGAAATCAAAGCTCGCGCACCTGTCACCGACCTATACTCACTGTCAAGAGAAACTATGGTCATATTTCAGGATAAAATGAGCGTTTCGTGGCTGACATGTATGCGGTCACCAACCTCGTCCATCTCCCTGACGATTTTCCGGAGCTTGTCATCGTCCTCCAGCAGTTCGTGTAGCTGCGTGGCGGAGTACGAGTGAAATCTGTTCTCGAAGCCGGACATCTCTCCCATGGCTTTGTTATTGTGTTTCTCCGGCTCCGCTACCGCAGGGAAGTCTCTTGTGTTTCTCCTCGACCGGAAGTCGAGTAATTCCCGACAAATCAGCGCCAGTGAATGGACGTGACGTCACGCGCGTGGACGTGTGAGCGACGTCAAGAGGCCATTCATGGAAAAAGGATTTAGTAAATATAGTTTTGTTATATAATTTATATATAAATATAATTTAGTTAACATCTTTACGTTTATACATTCACATTCATTTTCCTTGAATTTGGACACAATTGTTTTTCATTAATATTATCAGACATTCTTATTTAATTATATAAGAATGCTACATAAGATGTTTTCAATTAAAATCACAATAATTTTAGTGTATCACTTCTGGTTGTCTATTTAAGCATCTGTTATTTTTCTTAAAGGGATAGTTCACCAAAAAATAAAAATGATGTCATTATTTACTTAAGTTCCAAAGCCATAATTAGAGTAAATTAAGCAATTGGTTGAGCAGCAGTTAATGTCCACTGATCAATGTTTATATGTGAATAAAAGACTAAATTCAATCTGTTCATCATATAAAGCGATCGAGTTCAGAAAATTTGGACTAAACCATTTTCAAATTCACAAGTTCATACTGATTAGTTTTAGTATAGGCCTATTTTTATAAACTTTATATAGTTGTCAATGGAGGGACAGAAATTTCATAAGAAAATGTTTTCATTTTCATATTGATTTAACCAATAGATTAACCAGTTTCTGCCACAAATACTATAGTTACTACGGAAAATAAATAAATGGGACCACTATCTCAGAATATTAGGGGTGTCAAATGATTAATCGCGATTAATCGCATCCAAAATAAAAGTTTGTGTTTACATAATATATGTGGGTGCACTGTGTATAATTATTTTGTATATAAATACACACACATGCATGCATATTTAAGAAAAAAAAATGATTTATATATAAAATATTTATATTTAATATAAATTATATATAAATCTATATACAGTATATACATGAAAATATTTCTCAAATATATACAAGCATGTGTGTTTATTTATAAATATAAAATAATTATACACAGTGCACCCACATATATTATGTAAAGACAAACTTTTATTTTGGATGCGATTAATCACGATTAATCGTTTAACAGCCCTAATATATATATATATATATATAATATTATTTTTGTCAGTCCTTTGATTGATATTTAGTACGGAAGAAGATAAGGGTCAAGCAATAATAAAAAAACAAAACCATCTTGAGATTAAGTCATTATAATGTGAGATTAAACTCGTTAAATTTCGAAATACAATCTTGAGAATAAACTCATTAAATATCGAGAATAAAGTTGTTGTGTTTCGAGAAAAAAACTCGTTAAATTTCGAGAGAAAAAAAGTCGTAATACAATCTTGAGAATAAACTCATTAAATATCGAGAATAAAGTCGTTTAATTTAGCATACAATACTGAATTATTGTATTCATATTATATTAATTTATAATGGTATTTAAGGCCTGTTCACACACCAAGGACGATAACTATAACAATAACGATATATAGTTCTTAAAATCTTTCTAAATCTAAATATATGATTCCCCACCACAACTATAATAACTGCTCAGAGAAAGAATAACATTGGAAACACTTTCAGAGCGATTTCCCGCTGATGAACAATAAAAAACATTGACAGCCAATAAGAATCCATCCTGGATAACAAAACTTCAGAGTGTGCTTAAAATAAACAGAACGATATCGTGTTGCTGTGTGTGGACGCAAATATAGTTATCATTACCGTTATCGTTCTTGGTGTGAACAGGCTGTTGTGGGGAATTTTAATCTCACATGTATTAATTGTTCTCCCTTATCAAGAGTCGAGCTAGGCACCAGAGGACCGGCCGGGTCAGGGGTCATCTTAGACTGGGAGGGGTTGAGGGGGTTAGTAAATCTAACCTGGCATCATGAATCCTATAACTTTGTGGAAATTTACAGAGAAGGCTCGGCTTGCAGTAAATAACCTTGGGGAGGGCTATTTAGTCTTCACCCCGGCCTGTGTTCTGGGCGTCACTCTCTTCACAGTGTACCAATCTGTGTTAGCGACTGGGCCTATTCTTGCAAGAATAAACTTCTCTTTTCTTTTATTAATTTGACTCAGAGTGTCTCTTACGAAGTGATGTCTGTTTGTTGAATTTTTGCCTCAACAAGGCTTTGTGCCACTCCAAAGTACCCTGAAAAGTACGTCAGTATGACAACGACAACGAAAATGAAATTCATTCATCCCTCTTTTATTCTTTATTTGAAGAAAATACAAATGAACAAACAAAATCTAAATAAAACAAAACCTGTGCGTTGTTCTCAAGGACCATAGAGACCCATTCACGACTGTCTGAAAGCATTTCAACATTACTCAAATACATATTTCTGATTTTTTAAATATAAAATTCTACAGTATGAACTCAAAATCTATTACTGGAATATATATATATATATTAATTGTAATGCAATACAACAAATTTAAATCCAACGGATTTCTATTAGATGCACTGTTTTTCTAAATATAATTCAATTTATTTGTGTCTCACTAGATTCTATGAAATCCATATTTAATATCATACAGTTTGAATATATATTTATACAATGATAATGACATCATAATCTTAGTTTAAACCTCTGTATTTCCAGGTCTTCTCTGAATAGGGTTTCACCGTGTACATGCATGAATCTTATCTTAACACGCAGCAAATGAGCTCAAACTGGCACAGCTCTGCAGATCTAATTGAAGAACCGTGAGTAGAATCCAAGGGCTGGATGACTCACGCGCAATATGGTCAATGTGGGTTTGGAAACGCGCGTCACTTGCTGCGTTGGTAACGTACGTAAGAATATCATACATCTGTGAGCCTCGTGTGTTTGGGGAACTGCCAATGATGCTGCGCTTTTGACTCAGATCGTATCTCGTCGGAAGTGTGAGGACAAACATGGTTTGTGTGTGTTTGATCAGCCGGGCGCTTCAGGTTTATGTGAGGGATGAGACGCGTGACGGGATCCGTCCAAATCCAAGTCCGACTCGCCTGGGGTGCAAGTAGAACAAGGATGATGCTTCTACTCAAACACAAATATAAAAGAAACAAGTGGAACAAATACATATAGAGATGAGTTTAGGGTTTAAATCATGTCAATTGGCCTATGGAAGAGGATCTCTTTGCATCACGGTACTCACAGTTAGGCCGAGGGGTCAGAGTTAGAGGGGTTTGAACATGCTGGATGGGCTGAAGGTTTGATCGGCTCCAGGGGAATCTTTACTGACGTTAGGGAGTCTTTGGGACGCTTTGACTGGGAGAAGACGACACCATTGCAACAGACAATATGCATGCATGTACACTATCACTCAAAAGTTTGAGCTCAGTGCGATATTTTAATCGGAAATGTTTCTTGTGCAGCAAATCTGCATATTAGAGTAAATTAAGCTTTGATGACGGGAATAAATTGCATTTTAAAATATATCAAATTAGTTCTTTTCAATTATAATAATATTGTACTACAATTGTGATACATTTTAACAAATAACTGCTGCTTTGGTGAACAGAAGACTTCAAAAACATTACAAAAAATCGTAACAACCCCAAACTTTTGACGTAAGTGTATGTACCCAGGGTCCAAAATTAACTTGAAGCTGTGTTGATAGACTGTTTGATTCAGATGAACGATATTGACATTTAAAACATGTTCCTACCAAAGTTGGCCAGTAAGAGTTTAAAGGAGCTGTATGTAAGAAATGTATTTCAATGAATAATAAAATGGCCCTGATATGTCACTAGACATTAAAAGAAATCATGTTTATTTCAAATACTTATATCACTGAGGCCGTGTGTCCACCAAAGCGTTTTTCCACACGTCTGGGAGCGCCGCGTTTTTTAAACCACGAGCGTAACGAGGTGCTGTTTTTTCACGCTGAAGCGCTGAGCGCTCTGCGTTTGTTTTTGTTTTTACTGGTCGCCGAGAGTTGAAAAATGTTCAAGTTTGGATAAAACGTAGTGCTTATCACTGTCACAGCCGTCCAATCACAGTGGAGGAGGGGCGGGACAAACTGTACGTTCACACCGCCGCCGACTTGAGCGTCAAGGAAGCTCTGGCCGCTCTGTCAAGGACGCTTGTCAAAAAGTACGGGGAAGCTTGTTAACGCTTTGGACGCTTTGAACGCTCTGACGCCTGAATTTTTATTACTGTTTTGGTCACATTTGGTCGGGAAAAAATGGTTAGCTATTATTATTATTATTTGCGGTCAAATCGGTGTCACTATGAGCAAATTAATTGCATTCCTGCTTTAAAACGAGCATTCGTAAATATTTCAAATAAAAATTGCGCTCATGCGGTCCCTATAAGCAAACAACGTCATGTCATAAATGATACGAAACCAGTAGGAAACACAGCAACGGCGATGATTAGCTTCTCTTCCATTTTCTCGGAACTAATGTTTTGGTAGGAACGAAAGTTTACATTGTGTATTTATCCGGAATCAGGCAGCGTGAAGGATGTCTATATTCCGATTGGTTGCTGGCGTTTTGCCGCTGAACCGCGTCACAGCTCATTACCATAAAGCTGAGCATCTTTCAACTTTCTGATTGACGCTCAAAACGCCCAAAACGCGACGCCGATGGATTTGACGCTAAGAAAAGCCAGCTTCCATTGAAAATGAATGACTTCCGGCCGCTTTGGAAGCTCAAGTCGGCGGCGGTGTGAACGTACCAGGGGCGTAGCCAGAATTTTATTTTTGGGGGGTCCCGTCTTTAAATGAGGGGGCAACATTATTTATATATACTGTATCAAGTTGATCTTTCCGTGCTTTTTTAAAAAAGTGTAATATTGTACTTTGAGTTTGAGCGCCTGCCATTGTCACGGCATATTAACTCTCACGCAAAGATGAAGATGACAGCGTACGTTACGCACAACACGTTATATAAACAAATCAAGTTTGAAAATAAGCTGCATTTTACCGCGCAGCATTTTGATTGGTCAATCTATCAATCCTAATAAAACAACTTTTTTTTTTTTTTTTAAGCAATCAGAAATCTGAGGGGACCGGACATGTAAATG